AAAAAAGACACTTTCCTTTCTCGACTTTCAAGCGATAAGTTACACTTTATTGAATTCTGATTGGACATTTTCACCATCAAATTCAACAACGCATTGCACACGATCACGAAACTCCGCCACAGCCTTCTGGACGAACGCCATCGAGAGATTCTGCCACGCGACCGTGATTCGGTGCCTGAGTTCAGCGAGGTCGTTGATTTCTCCGCCACTGTAGACCACCCTGTTGAGCTCCGCTCGGACCCGGTAATCGAGGGTTTAGGTCAGGTGACACACTTAGATATTCCGTCTTCTTCAGGTTCTCAACGCCCTTTGATTCCAAGTGAGCCAGAGTTTTTCCAACGCCCTCCCTGTAACAGTATGAAGTTTCTAACAATAAGATGGTGAAGATGAACCGTAGCGACGTTGTCGGAGCTGCTCGATGTTGGAGGTCTTCCAGATCAAGAGTGCCGGTCCCAGGTAGCTGTCCATGGGTGACTCCATACAAGAAGTTTCGCAGCTGTTTGGAGGTGACGTGAATTCCATAGGCCTTCTCCAGTCAGGCTGCGATTGGAGATGGCTTCATATTTTGGTGTACATGAAGGTGATGGGCGAGAGCCTGCTCCTGCTTATCGAGGAACATCTTGGGTATCTTCCGCCCTGGTACTCGTATCCACGTCTTCTGTCTGGGCTGCGTAAACTACTGATATGTGACTCGGCCAAAGTGTCTTTTTGCCCCCCCCCCCCCCCCGTGGATGCTGTAGAATGCCAGCTAGCTAAGAACTACTCTGCTAGCTGGTGAGCGGTGCCGCAACATGGTTGCAAGGTCCAAAACCTATATAAAGTCCTGTTCTCTGCGGATGATGGGGTGGGTAGTGGAGCTGGTCTGACGCGCCCCGAACCAGCCTCACTGACGCTCGTGCTCCACCACTTGTTGAAGCTGTAAGCGACAGTGGCTGTTGGAAAACACTCCTACCATCCACAGAGAATAAGACTGTAAACTCTAGTCTGCATTGTGCCTTTTCAATCGTTTTTTCAGGCAAATCCAGCAGTTAATCAAGAATCTTCAATCGGAGAGAATAGTAGTGTGGCAGTTGTGAACATGAAACAAAGTTAGTTTTATTGTCATGAATTTCATTCCAATATAAAATTCACCCTATAATTCATTCAGTTCCTACAAGTAAGAAGTCAGTTGTCTGAATACTGCAGTAACTACCCCACTAACTCGTTATGACTGTGAAAATCAATTACAGTTAGAGAACTGCTGTCATCACATGCGATTAAACTTGATGACAACGATTACAAAGCCATCACAGCCATTCTACTTGATTTGTGTAACGACAAACAAATGGCTCTGACACATCTTCGTAGAGCTAACAAGTACGTTTAAGTAACAGTAACCTGAATACACGTCATCTATTCCCATGTAACGATACAATACCTTTAGGGTTCTTGGTAATCGAGTGAATGAAGTGGAAAGTCATTTAGCCGTTCTAGAAGCGAAATCAAGAAGTACGAGTCCTAATAAACCGTCATAGCGTATCAGACAAGTAATATCGATTATATTGATTACCGGCACAAAGATGCATATCCGATCAATAAAGAATTAAAATTGAAGAGAAGAAAAAGAAACATTATTGTCGTGTTTTCGCAAGGCTTCGAACAAGTCTACGAGCAGGGCACGGAGTTTCCAGTAGTATTGCATTAATCCTGAATTAGATGAATTCATGTGTAGAAACTCCGTCACCAATCAATAATGGTCGTCCTCACCGTCTTCGCCTCTCGCAGGCTTTGAACTTGAAGTGACATCGATTTCGATACATATTACCATGCTGATCACATACCAGTTCATCAGGTACACCATCACAATCGTTGGCGCAACAAACCCCTGAAGAAGGTTCAAAAATTACTGAACGCGCCGGAAACTCGTCGAGTAGGGTGGGGTTTCGCCTGGGGTCCACATGGTGCAGTTCTAATTGTACGCAAACTTGGGCGCCATAGCAGAGCTCATCAATTAGTTTTGATTCACCGTAGTCAAATGTTATAGCAAGGCCGTCCTAGGTAGTCCATGCATCCCTGATTTGATGGCTTATCCTTGACCTCTTCGTGTCTTATTGTTAGGGAGAGACATTTACAATACTTCAACCAGTAGCATTTAGGCTGCCTGAGCGTGCGAATCGTTGGGTCGCTCCGGGTGCAATGTGCTAAGTTGTGGCTGCAACCAGGGTGGCGACAGCTTCATTCCGAACGATTTTACGTGCGCGGAATTCGCACCATTTATTCAACAGAGCTTTAGTACACTTTTCTCGTTTGAAGCGCCCATATTCCCACTCCTTATTCCTCCACTGGGCGCAAATTGTGGGAAAATTTTGGTAGGAGACGAAGGTGTTGAGGGGGGAGGGGGTCACAGGGGAAGGAAAAAGAAAGACGTCTGGGAACCTTCGTCTTAGGGTCGTTCTGACATCGCCATCTGACACATTTCGATGGTGGTCCCTGCTCGGCATCTCAAGTCAGCTAGGTGGGAAAAATTCTGGTAGTCGGTAATGTTTTCTCATGTGCCAAAGAGGTTTTTCTTTTGAGACTTTATTGTGCCTGACGTCTCGACCGGTTTCGAGAAAAAGCATATTCTGGAGACTTCTGCGGAATGGCGCGATTAGCTGTACCTCAGATGCCTTGAACTGGACTCAGTCACGGGATGTATAGCGCTATTTTCATCCG